TTGGGTAGATTGCATCCGATTATTCAAATACGAGGAGAACCAATCACTAATAATTCCACGAAAACCATAGTGATTAAGTTTATCAAGCAAAATGTTATGATCGACAGTATCAAAAGCTTTCTTGAGGTCTATGAAGACTCCGCACGAGAAAAGACCTTGATTCATATTAATTTGTATTGCGTTTACAATGTCTAATATTGCATGTTGAGTCGAGTGACCTTTACGAAAACCGTACTGGGAGGAATACAATAAGTTATGTTTGTCAATGTAATCTTTCATTCTGTTGTACATGATCTTTTCAAAAATTCTGTTAAAGTTAGATAATAAGGATATAGGCCTGTAGTTATTCGCATCATTATCTTCGCCACTCTTGAATATTGGAGTTATTTTGGACAATTTAAGTTTTGAGGGGTATTTTCCTAGTGTTACTGAGATATTTAATATTTCTGATAGAATAGGAGCTATGATACTACTTGCACACTTTAATTGTTTTATGGGAGATGAATATAGACCATAAGACTTGTTGTTTGGTATGGGGAGTATCTGAAATTTCACTTCGTCGGACTTTACCGGTAAGAATAGAAAAGATGAAGATGGTGCTTTGCAATGACTAACGTAATTAAGATAATGTTGTTGTGGCGTTGGAATTGTGCTAGCTTCCATTCCTCTTCGGTTAATCCTAGTTGATCGGCGTTCAAAAATGCCACCAGTAGTCCCCAGTTGTCTTTTGAAAAGACATCAGAGTGGAGATCTTTCATTTTTTCTAGGCTCGAACCCGGTAAGTACTTACATTTTTCGTCAAGCCCTCCATTACACTTGAAGACACTTTCAGTGTTTTGGCTTGTGCGCGGTACAGAGAAAACTCGACTCCTAGCTGATCGGCGTTCATAAATACCACCAGTAGTCCCCAGTTCACTTTTGAAAAGACATAAGAGTGGAGATCTTTCATTTTTTCTAGGCTCGAACCCGGTAAGTACTTACATTTTTCGTCAAGCCCTCCTTTACACTTGAAGACACTTTCAATATTTTGGCTTGTGCGCGGTACAGAGAAAACTCGACTCGAAGCAAAGAGAAAAAAAGCCCCATCTTCACTAAGACCGAGACAAACACACACTGACTAAAAATTTTGTCATAAACAAATTTTATTACTTTTAAAGACAGCTTATTTTAATGTCATTAATAAGAAGTCAAGGTCCATTAGTTCTTCGTCTTTTCTCACGACTCTTTCAGGGCATTCTATTTCTTCTAGTTGGTCACTGAAATCCTTCAATTTGAGACCATTTGGACCATAGTATAAAGCGTATAAAATACGGCTTTGAAGATCGTTACCCTAGACAACATCAAGTGCTAGAGAAGCGGGGAAAATGCTGGTCCATGGCATTTTTGGCAGCTCGGTAACTTACACTTCCCATGATTTACTTAGCCTGAAGACAAGAGCACTTTCTACACTTTCGGTAGCTTTCAGCACTGAATTCAGGTCATTTTTTCCACCACTTCATCGTTTTAATACATCCGAGCATTATCATTATCCATAGTCAGGCCAAAGTGCGCTTTGACTTGGGTGTTGAATGAGTTTGTCAACCATAGCCGCAAAAGTAAGTTGGAACACATGGCCGGTAAAACTGGTTATCTTTTGACGCTGCAGTTTTTCTACTTCGTTACAGTTAGCAGGGGTGTAGTGCTTGATTGGACATCAATGTTCGGATCCATCTTGCAATAAATTTGCTAGTACAAACGACAAATGTACTGTAACGCGTTCAAAATTTGGGCGCTTTTATTTTGTACACATAATAGATTATACATCAGTCAATAAGGTGGGTATAGAGCGGGCAAGTCTAGACAACCATATTGTTCCTATTGTATAAAAGAGACGCTCATTACACATGGAGGAAGGCACTTATTAGTATGGAGGAACGCACTTATGCATATTGATAACATAGGCACGTTAAACGTGCATGAGCTATTTTGAATGCTCCAGTGTAACTATAATACTTCGGTGTAACCTTACCACGAGTGATGAATCTACCTTTTTCATCCTAAATGTAGATTTGGTTTTTGTGCGAAATTGGGTATTGCGCTACATAAATGAAAACGCGAAACGCTCAGCTGAGTCGATCCTCAACCTATATATTCACTTTCGTCTGTCTTTCCCTGTTACATCTGGTGCAAGTTAAACAAATTGTTAAAGTAAAATAAATTTCTACTCACCAAACGTTGATTAGAAGGAAAACTCTAAGGTTTCCTCGGAGTTTCTTAAGCCAAAATGTGACTCATCGAATACTGAATATTTACGAAATACCAGGATTTTTATCATTGAGATAGATGGTTGCATCATCATAATTCACGAGGATTTCACGTGCGATTCTACTCAGTGAAACAGTCTTTAACTCCGACAACTTATTTCTTCATGTTTTAAAAGCTATTGCTTCTTAAAAGACAAGAGCCTTTTTTAAGGCATAGGTTACAAAACGAAACAGGTCTTCATACGTCCAAGTTACTATTATCATTGTGAAAAGCCATTAATCTGCATGAGATGTACAGTCACACAGCTGGCACGTGAAAGTGTTGGACTTTGCTCCCTTTCGTGGTTCGTACGTGAGGGAATTCGAGTTATCACACAGTAATCTAGTAAACAGAACTATAAAAATAACTCATGCACACAATTTGCATGTGAAGATGTTGGTCTTTCGCCCTTTTACAATTCGTACGTAAAAAAAAGGCAAATTGTTTTAGTACAAAATTTTCTCAAGCGATTTTAAGAAATCACCTCGGCTTTATTACAACATCTACAATTAAACTGATTATGTTTCATGCAACGTCAAGGTTGATAGCCTAACATTTATTAACTTCCAAGAAAATTATCAAACTGCCGAAATATATTTCTACTTGTATCATGTTACTCCACTCAATACAACAGTATGCAATTATTGTGTCAACTAGCTTCTTCCAGTTTTATTCCCTAACGCTACTGTTTCTACTTAAGTTACGCATCTTTACTGAATAAAATACGTTTCAGAAACTATAATACTTAGTATGCAGGAAGGATGTATCATGTTGTTCACTTATTATTCTTTTTTTTGTTGTTTTGCCAGAACGAAAAAGGTCTGTTGAACTTTGTAAGCGAGAGAATAATATTTTTAAAGCTTGTTTACAGGATTAGCAATACTCGGTACAGCTTTCACAAAAATAAGCTGCCTTTTTAAACTTCTAAAACCACATTTTATAGGGCGCATACTTTCGAATTAAAGTCTATATCTAAATATCAATTATTGCTTCATTGGAAGAGCTGTAAAAATATATGATCTTTTATACTCTACCCAGTTGTAGCAGGTGAAACAGAACTCATACTGATGTGCGTTGTACCGATAGCCGAATTAGGTCAGAAATGCCTTGAAGCAGCATCCGTACTAAAATATAAACAGCTGCATCACTGTACACAGCATTTGAATCATGAAGATATTTGATGTAGCCGTAATAAAAGACGAAAAAATTGTGAAGAATCAAGATGGCGGTCTCAAAGTGCCCTTGTTCGACCTTTACAAATGCCATGTTTAAATAGATGCCAAGATCTCATTGGTTCCTAAGCATCAACTCATAGTACCTTCAACCTTTTTGGCTCTTGCAACAAACATCCCAACATACAAAGCCACAAAGATACAAAGCCACAAAGATACAAAGCCACAAAGATACATACGCTCATACCACTGACATATGAGCTATTTTTTCAAAATAGCTCAAAAAGGGAACGTACACGGAACCCAACGCGAACCCACTAACAAGGTTTAATTTTGCTGACCTATAACTACTCTTAAGTGGAGTCATGTCTTCAACCTTTCACGCCATGATTCTGCAGAGAATTGCAAACGTTTACTTTCATCACCAGTGATGGAATTTGTATGACCAATCTCAGCTGCCAAAGACATCAGATTTTTCTAGTTTTTGATGGACCATTTTTCTTTGCCAGGTTTGTTTTCAGTAAATCTCAGTACTCATGTAATAAAATACTGTGAGTTCAATCGATAAGGAACAATGACACAATCACTTCGTATCCAATGCATATTTTCTTCTCTCATGCTATCACTTGCTCTCTCGTTGAGACAAAGCAAGCAGTGTATTTGCTTTTGTTCATTGTTTTGTTTACATTGTTTTACAATGTACAAGAAATGTTTAGAAAGCAGCAGGCAAAAGCTAATCGGATTTAAGCACGTAGTTTCGTTTTGCGCAACTGCATAATTTAGATTTTAGTAATGAGTAGAGTATAACATTAACCTCGGTTTCCTTTTCGGTCCTCTCTGTTTCTGAAAATAGAGAATCAGCTTTTTCCATTCTGTTAGCTGGCGCCTCTATATCCCTGCAAGGTTCTGAGAAAAAAAAATCGAAAGAGTTTTAAGACAGATTTAAATTTACCTCTTCACTTGTAAAAAATTTGAACAATATGAATATTTACACATCTATTTGACTATGACGCACTATTGCGTGTGCGTTTGGATCGATATTCCGCTAAATACTTTGTCAAAAAAAAAAAGAATTTAACGGAATACCGCTTGATTCATCCTAAGTAAGGATACTGTTTACGGGGAAAAACCTTTAAAGAGAGCTAGCTTGGATGGATTTGAAAAGGCGTCACCATCACATACATGAGTGTTTTAAGTCCGTAACGTGAATAACAGCTATGAAAATCAGTGTGGTGTGGAACTTTTCTTATTTTTGTAACGATAATGTTACAGTAGCGTATTTCCGTATTTATACTGTTAAATTAGAAAACTAGAGAACCTTTCCAAAGAATCCCCAGAAAGCAATTAAAATACGTGTATACCACTCCATAGGTGAAGAATTGGAAACCGTTTTAAAAAACGTCTTATTATTTTTTATTGTTAGCTAATTAGATACAGTAACTTGCAATGCCAGCTTCTTGGCGCTCCCCAGCATAATTTTTTTGGTCCACTGCTGGAGCTTGGAAAAATTGCCTTGGGAAAACAGGGGGTAAAAATATAAGAAAAACCTTTCTCGTCTTTGTTGGTGACAAGACGGGTTGTTTTTTCTGAACCAATGAATCGCTTCATCGTTCCTCTGAAAATGTCCTCCATAATCGTCATAATTGATTGTAGAACTCTTTTGGCACCTTCCTTATCAATCAACATCTAAAAGGAAGTGGTAATTTCAGTTCATCGGCCCTTCTGTCATCAGGGAAACAAGGCGTAACTGGAGGGTGAGGCATCAAATATAATAAATGTCCTCCCGAAATGTAATAAAGGTCCTAAGTGTAATAACTCTTGCCCCTAAATGTAATAAAGGTCCCAAGTGTAATAACTTTTGGCCCTAAATGTCATAAAGGTCCTAAGTGTAATAACTGTTGGCCCTAAATGTAATAAAGGTCCTACATCTGACTGAAATAACTTTTGGTCCTAAATGTGATAAAGTTCATGACTGAAACACAGAATGGTCTGATGCGATGACTTCATGTCAGGCAATTCACTTTCGACGCCTACTTTTTCAAAAAATTAAGAGAAAGGTGCCAAGTAAAACAACCTTCCAGCCTAAATATACTGAAGGTCTTAACATGATTTTATAGTGTTTGGCCTTTCTGCGTCATTACAGTCAAAAGGGCAAGAACTATGAATGTATCTAGGGAACCCCAATACAATGTATCCCAGGCAGTTCCCACTAAAATGGATGCCATATAAAAATTAGTTTCACAATTTTACTTTTCTTTTGTGACACCAGTCCGGCAACAGCAACTTCAAAACAGGGCTCCACGATATAAAAAAATGGTTATATATATATATATATATATATATATTAAAAAAAAAAAGTGTGTGATAGCTAATCGCGCAAGAAGCGAAAACTTCGTACATAGCACTGTACTCGAAAAAAACTCTTTTACGGGCAATGGCCAAAAAGATCGCACTTGCAGCCACCCGCTGCTATGTTGTACTACAAGTGATCCACGCCCACACCACCAAATTGAAACAAAAGACGCATGGTTAAAAAGAAGTTAATTTTAGCCCCCAGTTATTTTTACCTCTTTTGCTAATATAAGGCCCAGATTTAACACGGCCAGGCGTATAGGGCTTGTTAAGAACTCTTTTCTGGTTCCAGAGAAATTTTACCAATATGATCATGATTATTTATGATTTTGTTGTTTGCTGCTTTTCGTTTAATGATAACAGAGAACACAATGTGACATAAAAAGTGAATCTCCTTGCTAATGACGTCGTGGCATCAGACCGTTAGGGCCAAACGCTAATTACAATTAGGACGAGCGAAAATATCTCCTATTTTTCTTGTGCAAGCTGAGTAAACATCTATTGTTATAATTTCTAATGTTGACCAGGTACTGCATTTTTAATTAGGATGCTCGATTATCAGTCAATATATGGAAAAGCTTAAAGAATCTTTTTCGAGAAGAAGCTTAACACCTCTTGAATTTTCAACAACTGAGAAACTTCTGAACTGTACTTTTTATACTTTTCTCGTTATTGTCAAAAATTCATGTGAAAACAAGTTTTTTATTTTGCTCTTCTTATTTTACACTGACTGGACAACCAAAACTTCACAGAGAAAAGTCGAAAGTTAAGGAAAAAAATGCCTGGAAATTAGGGTGAAATTCAAGGGAAATTCGAGTTAATGGGGAGTTCAAGTTATGGGTTTCTACTGTACATTTTACCCACAGTAATGACACCGCTATTATGAATAAAATCACTCATTTAGTCATCTCAACAGGTGTTTCCATGTTTACCCTTGTAAACACACGCTGATAATTTTCAGGATACATGTTATCGAAAACAAGAATCGCCGAAAAGCCATTTTAACTGGGCTGATAAATGCGATTTTTTTATGGGGAAGGAATGGCTGTATACATTCAGGCCACCACATAACCTTGTCGTTGACCATTGCGTGACATAGCATCTCATGTGAGAGTTTAATATAAACTCATTTGAACATTGTACCCTCTTGAGAAACTTTCGGAACAAAGAAAATGAGTACCATTTTTAAGTGGGGATTGTATAGTAACTTTTCAAGTTCCACCATTATGAATAAAAATTAGCAAGTTAGCCGTTCTACGCAGGAAAGAATTAGCGTTATTTTCACACACCCCTCCCTCAATGCCTCTGCCCCCCATGGATGGTGAAGGTGCTGAGAACTTGCACAACGCGTAAACTATAAATAACCGAACTGTTTCCTTGGCAATGTTTTTCTCCTTTCTTTTAGTCAAGCATTTGATGTTTCATTGCTGAGAAAAAATAGGACAGGAAGGACGTTAAGGAGGAAACTTGTCTTTCATTTTAACGCCTATAAATAGGGAAATATGACTCCTGTATTTATCACTCTGTAGAGGTTTTTGGTTTTGGAAATACACTTAGCAACTACAGCTCGTGAAAATGTTCCGTCTAGTGGTAAGGACCCTGTCGGCGCAAAATTGTGAATTCATTTTTCATCCCTTTGCTGCTGGAGACAGAGACACTTGCGGTCGAGGATCATTTGTGGTTGGGAATCATTTTCGCTCTGGGGATCACTTACGGTCGGGGATCATTTGCTGTACACAGATGGCCCACCTGGTGTTCTCCAGTTTGCTCTGCTTGTGGTAGCATATCTAACTCAGCTTTCAAGCGTTTCCGCTCAGCCTCATGCCAACATAGTAGGTCGTGGATGTTATCGAAATCCAAGGCTTTCAAATCTATGCTGCTAGGTTCGTAAGCAATTCCTTTAGGCTTGACATGAAGAGACACCTTTGATGAATTTGGCAGAAGAGAGGAGGGTTTATAGCAACTGAAGATGTTCTCCTTATTTGGTATACAAGAAACACGACGATTTAACTCGTTTATCATTTGAACTCTCAAATCTGCTGGATCCTGATCAAAGATTGCTTTCCTTGGACGCTTGATGCGAGGGATAGGAGGAGGTGAAGGAGGGGAAGAGCACTGAAAGCGATCGCCGGTTACTTCAGCTATGTTTTGATCTCCAAAAGATTTACTTTTTAATTCTAAAAGTAGATTAGTCCTCAGTTGTCCCATTTCTTTATCACTTAAGTTCATGGGAACCTTAAGAACTCTAGGCTTCTTAGAACGATTAAGTTCTTTCTCTCGTTTAGCAATAACCTCCTGAAATCGCTCTCCTAAAACGTTGTTTAGTTTCAAGGCAAAGTCATACTTCCATTTTTTTATCTTTCGAAACGCTTGTTGTTCTATCTCTGATGCGTACTTAGGAAAATCCGACAAAGGCGACTTTGAAGCGACCGTAGCTCTCCGCTCCGACTGTTTAGTTTTCCACAACCTGACGGTGGCTTCCACAGTAGGGGACTGTTCATCATAGTTACTTCCTGTCAAAACATTCTAAAAAATGATAAAAATGCATTAAAAGGTTGTTAGGCTTGGACACGTATTGAGGCTGAGTCTGTCCTGATACACAGAAAGAAACTTCCAAAAGCGTGATAAAGGCCGCCTTTGTACACCTGTATACACCTTTAACACTCGCTATATAATGGTCATGGGTTTCAGTTGCTGAAGGCCGCATATGTCACTCATTTACTCCGCGCCTTTGACAGGTGCCAAAGGTGTTATACAATCAGCCTCTGTTAGCCTATCATAGGTGTCGCTAAATATGTCTGACATTAAAGTCAAAGTTTGAGAAAAGTGTCGTTATATACTGTTCATTTCAAAGGTGTGGCAAAGGTGTTGTCAAATATATCATAGTGTCTAGTAACAAGCTTGATAAAGGTAACGTTAAATATGTCAGGGAACCAATTTACAAAGGTCCAGACAAACGTTTGAACGAACGAAATTTTTACAACTCGTTTACACGGAACCTAGGTGCAGACTTTGCCATCCGAAACTTGCACGGTTCCACGGGTCCCGTGTAAGCGGAAGGCGACTCAGTGCAAATTTTTCTCCATTCAGACATTTTCCCGGACCCTTGTAAACGTGGTATGAGTTGGATTTATTTGCACCATACTCGTATAGCCCTCGCATGTTGCTCGTTGGACTTTTTAAGCTTAAAAACAGTAAAACTTAGGCGGTTTAAAGCGACGGCTGTACACGTATGGGGTAAACAACTTAAAATTTGACGGAAGAAACCAAGGCAATCTTGGGGGGCTGGAAACTAGTTAGAAAGTGGGCAATTTCATGGTGAGGACAAAACGTGGACCCGGGGTCTATGGACCCCCTGTTTTGGACCGGTCCGTAGACCACTTATTACGCACCTGGTCCATGGTAACATTTTCTGGTTTCCCCACTCCAAAAACGAAGAAATTAAAGAAGGAGAAATGAACGATGACATTACGCAAATAAACAGCATCAAACAATAGTGACAAACAGTAAGTGACAAGGCCTAGGTTGGCCAGTCATACTGACCGTCTAAGTGGACGCCTTTCAAATAAATAACTAGAAAAATAAAATGTATTCACATAAATCCTGGAAAATACAAAAACTGTTAAAATATATTTTGAATCCGGACTCGATGTATCTGCGTTACCCATTTAAAAAAAGCATTGTTTTCCTAAAGGAAAACAGAACCTTCTATGTGAAGGTATCGCATCAATCAACGTCTTATATCAACATGCAATTTCACCTTTAAATGTCGGCAGGTCAGAAATAACACTTGGAAAGAAAATTCCGTATTTGCCGCGTTTTGTTATTTTTATTGGGTGAAAAATGTTTCTTTGAGTGTTCAAATTTTTCTCCATTTCCCAATATTCAACGGGTTTTTGAGCATATGAGGTGACATTTACGTCTTAATTGGCTATTGCTTTAGAATGAATATTTCTCTCTGATATCACAGGCAGACCACCCTCTGTTCGTGTGTTTTTATTGAGATCTGAAAATCGGTCTTTTGTACTCAATGGAAGAAATACAAATTAACATTACAGCGGCTACAATTTATTTCAAAACACAGATTTGAGTCAAAATGTTCAAGCGAAATGATAACCTATAGACATCTGTCATGTTTTTCGACGTCCCGAGCTGTTTAATGCGTTATTTTGGGAGAGGATTATTCACTGGGGGTTTATTGTTATTATTTTACACTGTGGCTATATACCAGGCGGCTGGGAAGGATCAGAAAACTTTTTTTGGACTTTTTTGAATCCTTTTTTCTAATCGTATTCAATCTTCATTAGAGAATTACCAAGCGACAATCAGGAAAACAGGAATGGCTTCGCAGTTGAGCGGTTGTGGTTCCTTGGGCATGGAGTACATTCGACACCGTTTCGACACTTAAAAAGCCTATTATTATGCAAAAGAATTCATGTTTCCCAAAGCAATAATGAAAATGCAGTGCTTTTATTTTGAAACTTCATTTCAGTTCAAGGCCTATAAGCCGTCTCCACCTTCAGAGCAGCCACGCGGGGACAAAGGGTGCAATTAGTACATGTAATCACATGATTTCGAGTGCAATTTGGAATAAATAAGCACGAGTAATTTTTTTCAAAGGCTAACAAAATTGGACGAGCCCGTAGGGCGAGTGCAATTTGTGGTCTTTAGAACAATTTGCGAGTGCTTGTTTATTCCAAATTGCACGAGAAAAATCATGTGATTACTTATTAATAATATTCATGAAAACTTGCGAGATAGCTTTAAAATCACTTTGATAGGGAGTCAACACGCGTATTAAAAGACTAGGTGCAAAAATAAATTATTCAAATGCTGCCTGAAATATTATCACACGTGCAGTCAAAACAACATTTTACTCGATGTTTTTTTTTGAAGTTTGGAAGCTGCAGAAACGGGCTGAGCAGTTCATGGAATTGTTCAATCTGTTTGAATTAAAGATTCTGGGTTATTACCTCCGAGTTTTCCGCTCTTCCAGAGAATTTCTTCTTCCTCCTTTGACACTTGCCGAGCTTTGTTTGGGCGCTTACCATGCACGGCCAGCCAAGAGAAGCTGTTTCGCTTTGTTCTCCAACACCTCTTTGGACGAACTAAATTCGCGGTCACATACAATGGACAGGGTGCAGCCTTTGTTTTTTGTGTCGATCAAGCGATGCCATCATTACTTTCAGGCTTTCTGGTTCATAATCTTCACCTTTTTTATTGTTTACTTCGTCGTAGAAATGCTCGAGCAAAGTGTTAAGCTCAGTCGGCTCATAATTTTCTATTTCATCAGTAATTTCCTTATCTACGCACCAATTGTTCCAAACAGAGTGCCAAAAACCAGTGCTTTCCGCAGTTTTTTCGTTTTTAGAGTAGTTTTTCAGCTCATCCACAGTTGTTTCGGTTGCGAAAGCAAATGTGCTGCAAACGCTAACCATTGCGGTTTTTGCTCGAAACTGGTCCGGAGCAGATCCAAATTTTGCGCCATTTAGATGGCGCATTTGATTGGCTCTCAGTGAGTTCCTTTGTTTATTAGCCAATCAGAATGTCACGTTTGTTACTCTTTTCTGCACTAAATTACCTAGGCGGGTTTCTTATGCGCCTTACGATTGGCCCAATTTTTAGGTGAATGTGACGGTTGGGCGCAGTTACATGTCAAAATTCATAGAAGAGAGTTGGGAAGGAGCGTTTGAATTTACAGTAATATCCTAAGTACTATTTTAAACTTTCAAAGAAGTCTTCCTTTCGATTTAAGATTTGTCTCGCGGCAAGAAGACTTATCGTGATTTTGTCGCAGCTCGCCCGAAAAGCTCTTTCCGTTCGGGTTTTCTACTGTGAAACTCGTTTTGGAAGTCAATTTGTGGCAAGTCCAAGTCCAGTAATATTTTCTCGCGCTCTAGCCTCAAAAGTTCGAAAGGTATGAATAAAAATGCAAACTCAACGCGATGAAGCATCGGAGAGGTTAGTCAAACATTATATTATGATTTCATTGCCCTCGTTTCTCTAAACATGTAGTCCCTGTTCGTTTGATTTTGTCGGCCGTAGGGAGGTTTATTTAAAAGTTACTGGCACGTAGTTGCAAAACATTGTGCTTCACAAAGCTTAACTCCACAAGACTCTCCTCAATCGCATCCATACATGTCTCAATGGTTTCTTTCTTAGTAGTCTTAATTGCTGCTATTTTATTTCTGCGTACTCCTTTCACGATTATCTGAGCTGTATGGTCAGCTGGCGGGAAAAATAAGCGTTCAACGTTCATTAGAGCGTTTCCCTCCTCTTGGTCCTTTGGCCAACGGCAATGAAAGTAACGTTATAAAATCCAGATTTCGCCCCAATGGAAACTTAAGGGGAATCATTGATCTGTAATTCTGAAAGGTTTTAGTGAAGTATCGAACTCGGCCAAGCGCGATGCAAACGGATTTTTCGAGGTTCTCTCTTGCTCTCCTCGCATGTTTTGAATTCGCAACATCATGTCAGAAAATCAAATATTGGTACATGCGCAGTAACGGGATACTTTTCCTTCAACAGAGGTAAAAGAAAACCATCTTTAAATGGTAAACTGCATCTGTGATAAAATCTTGTCAGAAAACATCTGGAGAAACATAAACTACAGGAAGTATTAATTATTCAATATGCATGGAACATACAAGCTTAATGTCCGCTAAATGTGAGACAAAAATAAGGTTTACTCCGTCAAAGTTTAGAGTACTCCATGCACTGCGTAATCTACGCCATTAGAGAAAAAGCAAGAAAAACATCTGTTGTTAACGCTGACTCTAAGGTGACGTTTCACACAATCACCAGCTCATTGAGTCATGTTTTGCCTGTCGACACTTTATCTTAAATCGGACTAATCACAAACTGCGTAAGAAACTAGCCAATCAAAAACGCCGACATATGTCTTTGCGACTCTGCGGGATTCGAACACGATATCGGGCACAGGCTGCGAAAAGGTGCGTCGATTCTACTCTATGCCCAAGGAACCACAACCGCTCAACTACGAAGCCATTCCTGTTTTTCCTGATCGCTTGGTAATTCTAAATGAAGATAGAATAATTTATAATTTCAAACGATTAGCAAAATTAAACCCCAAACTTTTCTTACTGCCGGGCATTCAGGGCCGAAGCCAGGAAGAAACTACAACCGAGGCGAACACACGGTCCGTTGTACGAAATCAGCCGTATGAAATCTTCTAATATTATCAGTCTGATAAAAAAAATAAAAATCGACAGTATTTGATAAAATTTTACCGAGGCGAGTGCCTCGGTTCGCCTCATACTGGCTACGGCGGTGGCATTTAGACCATTCCTAGCCTCCCACGCAGAGCTAAAAATGTCTGCGTGAGAGGTTAGATCATTCCCGGCTTGCCGGGCATATAGCCACAAAACCTCAGTCAAATAATCATCTCGCAAAATAACGCTTTTAACAGCTCGGAACCGCGAAAAAATATGACAGAGGACTAAGTTAACATTTCACTTGAGCTTCGCTTGAACATTTTGAATCAAATCTGTATTTTGGAGTAATGTTCGTCTTACCCTCTGGGTGCCAGAGGCTTTTCATGTGCGGTTTCCGGTTTCGGTAAAGCCTTTTAAAGTGACCCGCGCGAAAAAGCCGACAAAGCTCCTCATCGTAAGGGAGAAAAAACCTTTGGTACTCAGGGTATGTTCACCTGTAGTTCTTCTACTAACTACATAAGACGGATGCTCAGTTTTCAATAACAACAATGGCCACACGAACAGAGGGTGGTCTGTCTGTGCTGATATCTTGACCGGTCAGAATTCCAAAAGAGCGATGACTGAGCATGAGCAAACATCTGTTTGGCCGGTCAGCCACTGTCGAAAATCATTTCGAGTCCTGTTTTTTTTATCCATTGCCATGCACGGAGAAATCTTCATGCTGCAGCTTAATTTTCTAGGGTAACATAGAAAGGGGAGGGGGCACTAACCAGAACGAAAGTCAATTTAACTGCGTAGGGAAAAAAGGAAACAGCAAAAATAATTAATTTCCACAGAGCTGAGCAAATATCTTACCATCATTAGAATCACAGAGCCTGGATGTAAGCATATTGTGTACATAGGGGTAAATAAATGAGCAACACCTCCAAACCTTATGTCTGCTCTATTTCTATAGGTTGAATCCGGCCGTACTGTTTATTGTTCATTTTTCCTTTCGACTCCTTCTTTAAAAAAGTGTCTATGGACCCGGTCCATATAAGTGTGTTTAAAAGACTAGGTTGATCTGCTGATGACATGATTTCTTTCACTATTCTAATTCGTATAAAAGCCGCCGCGTGACGATTTAATCAACTAGATTACTGCGTGCTCCCTCGGGAAGCAGTCTACTGGTCCTTTACGGTCCCCAGGGAAATTCCCTAGGCCTTTTATACGCCCTAGCAAACAAATTCGCCGTCTTCTCGCAAGTCTACTCTACAACGGGCAAGCAAGTTTCCCCACCCTCCTCCCCTTCAGCGGCGCTGGCAAATTTTCTCTATCAGCCCACCCTATGCCTTATGCAAAATTTTTCACCCATAACTTATCCATCAAAAGGCATAAGGTGGCTTTTATGCGAATATGAATTAGTTACTGTTCTCACCTCCAAGTCCTGGTAGCTGTTCACTTCTAGTGTTGGTTGACGATTTATCCAGTGTCCAGTTACCTCTTCAACACACTTTGGGACTTCCTGAGTAGGAAATACCTGTTTCAAATTTCCACAGTTTTCTTCGTATTCATCCCCTATTTCCATAATCAACGGTGAAGGAATTACCGTTAACTGCGTAGCCTGCCCCTGAGAGGACATAGCTGTCTCTTCTTTGAGTTTTTCTAAAGTCTGTTCCGGAAATTGAAGTCTCGATGGTGAAGCCTTTACCCTGTACATTGTCTCATATTGTCTTATAAACCTATTTTTCTCTTCTATATCAGGTAGACTCCAAGTTCTGGATGAAGGTTCTGCTTTACAAGAAACAGGTTCAGAGAGGGACCTTGGTCGACATGATGGTCTGTGCCATGAATGAAGCACGCTTTCTTCCACTAAGGCGTTCTTTTCACTATCTGATTCCTCACACTCGCTGCTAACCTCAGATGTTAAGTTGACTGAGTAGTTATCCAACTGCGAGGAAATCGATAACACGGAAATCGTAGGGTAATTAAAGTCCGGAAATGCACCCCGTGATATGTGAGGCATTAGCCTAAAACAAAACGCTCTGTGAAGAGAAGGTAAGCCAACATTGCTTTCATGCTGCCTCCTAGACTGTCTGTCCATATGAGGAAGTGTTGTGTAACTCCTAGTTTTCCTCAACTGCTCAGCAGTAAAGAAAGTTGTAGATTTCAAAGAGGTGGAGTCACTGAAAGAACGTCTCCTGTGCTCTTGGGGAATAAGACTGAAAAGAAAGTGTAGGCGATATCAGTTCTTCATGGCTAAGAAACGTAATGAGAATACACGAGCGTTTTATGCCCAGGTTCCTCAATAGTCTTAATGTATACCTTCTGAAATGATCTGTGTCGATTAATAATTAGACAGCTCTATGCCAAAATCAGTTTCAAAGCAACTGTAATTCTTATAAAACTTTATCTTTTTGCGAAGATAAATCTCGTTGCGTGTTTGCAAGTGAAACATTCACAACAGCGGCATCGGGAGGTTTCTTTTTGTGTGCTCCAAATCAAGCTCCACAAGTTGGTAGGAGGAGGCGGAGGAAGAGGCAAGGATGGGACCGAGAAACGACGTTCTTACAACTTGCAAAGCGGTCTCCTTTCGTGCTGGTCAGCGGGTAATTACAGTGTATTACGCAAAGTGAAGAAGCGAACCAGCAGAGGAAATAACTCAATAATTGAAAAAATAATACTATGCCTCTTTGTTTTCCTCGTGTATCGTATTTGTACTTTGTTATTGAAATTGCAAAACGCAAGCTACACTCAATGCACAAGCAACCGTCTAAATTCTTAACCGAGAACAACGCGCGCTGGACTGTCAATCGAGTTTATAGGCATTTTGCCGGGCGAGGAGAATGTTATAGAACTTATGATGCAGATAAAAATTAGTGAAGAACGTGTAAAAGTTATCGGAATTCAGTCTATTGAAGAGAGCGTAATGAACTTACATACCTGAATAAACAGATTCACGCTTTATAACAGTGATAACATTTCACTTCGTTTAAGGTGGCTCGATACAGTTTTTCAGGGCCAGTACCTCCCAAGTTTGAACAAAATCACGAGTCTGTCATTAAAATACCGTAAAATTCCGAAAATAAGCCCCGGGGCTTATATTTTTCAAAGGCCCTTTTTGAGGGGATTATTTTTGGAGGGGCTTATCTACGGAGGGAAATTTGCGTTTCAAACTCGATTGGGCTAGCCTTGTAGTTGAAAGTAAATTTACCGTTTTTGCTTTGTTTTACTTGGTATTTGAGGGCAATTTTCAAAGTACAAGCCCCCGGGGGGCTTATATTTGGAGGGGCGGTTTAACGGAGGGTTTTTTGCGTTACCGGTTTGGGGGGCTTATATTTGGAGAGGCTTGTACATGGAGGGGCTTATTTTCGGAATTTTACGGTATTAGACAAATCTTATACGTTCTTTCTTTTCGGCGAGAAGGAACAATGAACAGAGGCGCAAATCACACGCCACGCTTAAACCATTTTTAGACATTTCATTCACACTTCATTCAGACGCAGTCCGCGAAAGGAAAAAAAGCTGCATTAAACCTGATTTGCAAAATTATAACTGACAATCAAAACAAGCAAGATTTTCGCTAATTATTGTTACTTTTTACCAGCAACCACTACAAGTGGGCATTCTTTAAAACCGTTCTCTTTCCATTTGCAACCAGAGGTCATAACCAAATTTTCTGGCATGGATAGGTTTCCATTTTCAATCCCTTCCCATGATACCTATGGGGCTCCGCCGCTCGCTGCGCGCGCGGACGCTCAGCTATTACGATCACTCAACACCTCAAATTCCGCAGCTATAATAATAATAGTTTATTATTTATATAGCGCTTATACATCACTGTTCTAAGCGCTTTACCAGATAAACACTATAATATATGTATATACATAAAAAAGCATAAGGTAAAATGGTAAATTATAGACTGTAGCTAAAAGGAACTCTAACCAAAATAACTAAAGATTATATGCATATTTGAAAAGGTATGTTTTCAATTTAGCCTTAAATATTACATTGGAACTAGCTGTTATGTCTAGGGCAAGCACGTTCCAAAGGGTAGGGGCAGCAACTGAAAAAAGCCCGCTGGCCATACATATTGAGCTTAGAAGTAGGAACCTTCGGCGAAAAATGATCACTGGAAGAACGTAGAGTTGGACGATAACATTAGGGATAACCTTAGGGATCATCAAAATATGAAATATCAACAAGTCCACAGCGACAAACCAATCAGCATGGTATAGCCGTCTGACCAATGAACCGCGGACTCTAACTCCTGGAATAGTTTCCATGTCAAGAGCCAGCCTATTTTACTTAAAGGCTCGCAATTGCAAGGTAGTGGATTACTTTCACATTGAAGATCGTGCTTCGATTCCTGGGCATTATGAAACCTCTGAATACATAATGAAGGTTGGTCACGTCCTAGTTCACTCCGTCGTTTCACTATACTTGCTCCTACCAAGGTTCTTTTTGAGCGTGAATAACCACGGAGAATGTTTACTAACTCAGTATGGAGCAACTGTGGTTGCTGTGGCCTCCCAAGATCGTCTGTGGTCCTAGAAAAAGATGTCTTTAATGGATTCGCCATCGCTGTATTTTGGAAATCTAGCAAACGCTGTTTGTCTTCCTAGCAATGGATGCAATTACTTATTGTTGTCCGGATGGCGATTTACGAACTACAGTGCGATAGATTTGCTATCTGTTCGTTTTCCTGACAATGGATGCAATTACCTGTTGTTATCAGGAATACGATGTGTTAACTACAGTACCATTGATTTTCCTGATGTTTGTTTGTCTGATGTGCGAAAGGGTCAACAAACGCAGAGCGAGGATTAGAAGACACAGGCGGCCATGTGCCTATTACGCAAATTCGTGCGCGACATTCCATCTCACGTTAAGCCGTGAACTAATTTTCAAGTTGAATCCTGGTCCGGTGGATCGCACCCAAACACCAACAATAGTGACGATGCGTGTTGACACAAGGATAGAAAATAGATCGGCACTTAACTCCCGGAACCTTAGGTATGTACAATGTCCTGGACGCCCTTTGTATTTAAGTCCTCGCGGGCTGGGTCCTCTGTCCCTGTGCTTATTAAACGCCAGGTCAGTGAGGAATAAGTCAGCGGTGCTTATGGATTACCTATGCGATTGCAAAGCTGACCTTTATGCAAAAACAGAAACTTGGCTTACGGAGGATGATGCTGCTGTAAGAGCGGAGTTAAACCTTGAACGGGTACAATTTCTTAGACCACTCACGGGAGGGTCGGTGTGGTGGTAGAACGGGTCTCATCTTCCGTGACTCCTTGCGTGTTAAGAATGTTGACGCGGGTGAGAAGAGCTCCTTTGAATTCTCTGAGTGGACTGTGACTACGGTCAGTAACTGTATTCGCTTGTTTAAAAAACGCAAGGTCCCAACAACTGTCTTCTTTAGGGAGTTTTCGGATTATCTCGAATCAGTTCTTCTGTCTAAAGAGCAAATTTTATTCGCTGGAGACTTAAACATCCACGTCGATAATCCGCGTGACTTTGATGCCATAAATTTGGAGATCTGTTCGAATCATTCGTGCTTCAACAACACGTGAAGGGCAGCACCCACAAGGAGGGCCACACCCTCGACCATATAATCACTCGTTGCTCTTAGATCGTTCTATCAGCCCCACCTAAAGTTGACTGGTTTATTTCAGATCATGCGTCAATCTGCTGCAGGTTGATTCCAGAGAAACCTACAGCGGTGGAAAAGCTGGTTACTTACGGGAAATATCGATCAATAGACATGGAGTCGTTTAAGAATGACTTGGTGACATCTTCTTTATGTCAACCACCTTTGACAACGGAAACACCTGTATATGGTGTTGACAAACTTGCAAAGGACTATAATTCCACTTTGCGCATGCTGATCGACTGTCATGCTCCACCGAAATCCAAGACTGTGTGCTCCCTGGTACGCCGCTGAAATAGGGGCTGTTAAACGTCTTCAGAGAAAAGCAGAAAGGCGGTGGCGGAAAACTGGCAGACAAGAAGACCTTCATGCTTTTAAAGTGCAAAATAATGATGAATGCTGCAAAAGAGGACTTCTATACTAACTTTGTTGCGAAGAATAGCACGGATCAAGGGAGGTTATTTAGGGCTGCAAAGAAGCTTCAGCCTAAGAAGGAAGTGCCCTCTTTCCTGGCTATGCGTATAAATCTGTTCTTGCGAATGACATCGGAAATTTATTTATCCACAAAATAGAATCCATCCGCTCGGATATTGACAAGGCCGTCAACTCTCGTGCAAAACATGGTCTTACCGGAGGATCCAGAGGTTGGCCGGAAAAAGCATTGCTTGCCTTCCGTCCTCTAAGTGAGAACGAACTCCTGAAGCTTGTTCGACAATCTGCAAAAAAATCTTGTCCACTTGATCCAGCTCCAACGTCGCTTGTGGTCTCCTGTCTCGATGTTCTACTTCCGGTCATTACGCGCATAATTAACTGTTCCCTTACATCTGGGGAATTTCCTGATTGCTGGGAGGAGGCGTTAGTTTCCCCTCTGCTAAAAAAGTCTGGCGTGCTCCCAGAGTTTACTAACTTAAGACCTGTGTCTAATTTGGAGTACGTTTTAAAATTAACGGGACGTGCCTTCTTCGACCAAACGCATGCGCATTTGACATCACATGGCTCATACCCTCCATTCCAGTCAGCGTACCGTAAGTGTCACAGCACTGAGACTACACTTTTAAAAGTGCAAAATGACGTCCGCATGAACTTGGATTCTTCAACGTGTTACCCTTTTTGTGTTACTCGATTTAAGTGCTGCGTTTGACACAGTTGACCATGGAGTGTTATTAGGGGCTTTCAGAACCGAAGATGCGGTGGGTCGGAGACGAGACTGGAAGTGACTTTTCCAGTTTCAGAAGAAGAGCGCATGCGCGTGGCGTTTTCTCCCCCTCTCGAGAACGCGGCCTGAAGAGATTTGGCGTCGTCTGGAAAACATGAGTATTTAGCCTTATTACTTAAAGCAAAACACTATTATTAAAGGGACAGTGTCCCGATTATGCGCACGCGCGAGCGTCATCTGTTTTTTTCTTCAAAAGACAATAGAACTGTCATATTGACTAGACAAGATTTCCTTCCGGACAGCGCCGCCGACGGGGATTTGTTGTGTATATTCTCAAGTAATATTTTAGACTTTCGAAGGCGTCTTTGGTCTTATTTAAAATTTGGCTCGCAGCATGAAGACCCATCACGAT